ATTTTTTAAATTTTCAGATACCTTTATATTTATTTTTTAATTCCAACCTTCTTTTAGTTTTTAATTTTTAAAAATTTCCACAAAACTTTTTATTTTTTTAAATTTTCTACATTCTTTTATTTTTTTTTAAAAGAGAATTCCACCTATTTTTTATATATATATTTTTATTCAATACTTCCCTTTTTTTTATTTTTTTAAATCATTCCCGAAATTATTATTTTTGTTTTAAAAAAAATATTTTCGGATTTTTTAATATAAAAAAAAAATAATAATAAAAATATTAATAGTGATAATAAAGCTTTTAATTTTTTTTTGGTATTTTTATCCTATAATAAAAAGTGTAATAAAGCTAAAATAATAGTAGGTTAAAACCCACTAAAATATTTACATAAAAAAAGTGATAAAAAAATTAAATGTTGTCAAAAATTAGGTGTTCACATGTATGCACATATAATATAACTTATTTTTAGTTAAATACATTACGAGATGTTTTCTCATACTTTTTGCATGTGCTTCTAACTATTTCCACAAATTCTAAGAGTAATAACAAATATTAACGCAAATACATTCAAAGTCAATATATATAGTGGAAGGAGACACTTATCAGATTAGAGGTATGCGTAATGTCATGGGCTGCTTTCCAGCCACGCCCAATGACCCCTAGGACGCGGCCCAAGGCATCCTGGCAAGCCTCCCAATGCCCAGCGTCATGGTCGGCCCCGTGGTCTCGGCAGTGCCAAACAAGCGCGCATGTGTCTATGTCGCCCTACCGATAGCCTCGCCAGCGCCCAACGGCTGGCAGATGCCAATAGTGCTGCGTGCGCAGACAATGTAGCGCACACAAATCATGATGATATCAACAACACCATGCGCACAAACAATACCCCGTGCGCAAATCCTGATACCTCGCCAGCGCCCAGCCGCAAGCAAATTCCAACAGCGCCGCGCGCACCAATATTTTCGCATGTGCAGATCCTGATGCCAAGTGTCAGCGCCCCACCTCAGGCAGATGCAAATAGTGGTTGTTCTTTGCTGTTGACTTATTTGTTAAATTGCAGTTATGTACTCAGTCTTATTCATCATTTCATATCACACCTCAATCTTTGTTATTGTGTGTTGTCATATCTCGTATCATTTATTAGGGCTGCTTAGTATGAGCATTGTGAGCTCGATGGAGTGGAGAGATTGATGATTGGGTGAGGCCGATGACCTGATTGTGAGTAGTATTTATGAAATCGGACTGCACACCGCAACATGCTTTTATTTATTTATGCCTGGATCTGGCTTATTATAGCGCTTGGTCTGAAGGAGCCCCTTCGCAGTCTGCACACACCTAGTGAGCAAAGTCTATTTGTATAGAGGGATGGATATTCCCTCGGCATGAATCTTGCCCAAATCATTTATATTTGGGGGTGGATTTTTCCTGGGCTAGATTGGCCTTATACAATACTGAGTGACTGACTGTCAGTTGATATATATTTGGGATGGATCTTCCCTGGGCTAGATTGGCCATATACTGTACTGAGTGATTGAATACTCTGAGAGTGTTAGTACGCGAGGCTTTCATTGTAGTGCATCACATATAGCATGTACATTGGCGCGTAGATATAAAGAGGTCATATTCCTCATATCATTCAGAATTGATCTATCTTATTTGTTTTGAGTTTAACTGTTGAACTTGAAAACATGCCTACATTTCTGTACTGTCATTTCTATATGGAACTGTACCTACCGAGTTCGTCACTACCTTCGGTCCAAAGGTTAGATTTGTTACTTTTGAGTTGGTTGTATTTGAAATTTAGAGTTGTATTTGGCCATGAATATAATTTTGGGTTGTTTTTTGAAGTTTTGCGAGTGATTTGAGCGAAAATTTTGAAAAATGGCTTTTTGGAGTTTTTCAAATTTTCAAAATTTCCAAAATGCATCTTCGAGTGAAAATTGAAAATTTTATGAACAAACGCTGATTTCGGAGAAAAGTGAATTTTTTTTGGAAAAAATAAAAAAATTTCTTATGTCCAAACAGGGTCTTAATACAAGAGAAAGTTGCACCTCCACCTCCTATGATAGGGAGTTCACATCTTCCCAAAGAAACTCAAATCAGAAAATGACAAGACAAAAGACAAGCCAACTGTAGCTATTAGAACTGAAACATAGTTGATTAATTAAACAAAGACAAAACAAAAAATAAATCTGAGATTTTCTCTAAGTTTCAAGCTACTCTTGTTTTCCTATTTGGCTTGAAAACATACTCAATGAGGGACTCTTTGATGGATTTCATTTCAGGGAATTCCTTGCTCATTTTTGAAGTATCAAGCTCATTGTTAGGAGCAACAATGACCTTTGCTTGCTCCTCATGAGTGAAATTCTTCCAACTAAAGCTCGGGTCGACATTGTCACGGTACATTTCAAGAATCTCATTATTGCTAACAACTCCAGGATTAGTGAAGTTACATATTCCAGTCAGGTTTCTCTTTGTCATCTCGAGGGATATTGGGAGAAGTTTATCCAAGATTGTCATCGAGTTTGGGATGTTGACTACCTTATTGTATCGAGTGATCTTGGTGATGAAGTTTCGGGGGTTGGTCAAGGCAGCGGAGATAGGCATCCTGACTCATAAAGTACAGATGTTGTCATAGTTCTTCAGCAATTCCTCTACCTGAAAAGATGATAAGCCGAAATAAGAGCAATTTAAAGGTTTTAACGACAAGCCCAGGCATGCCCAGATTGATATAGTAGTTGGTGAATGATCTGGACATCTTTTCCAGGATGGACAAGAGACACATTAACAACCAAAAACATAATATTTCCAACAAGTGATCACGCCCAACTATGTCTTCTAAAAGACAAAGCGGTCATTGCAAATATAATCCGGTTTTAAGTCCGGAGTCAAATCTTTAGGGAACTAACCTATCTATTACAACTTTTTGGCAATGCTATTATCAACTCAACCACTTTCTAGATGTAAGATTTTGATCAATAAAGGTGTGATTTTCGTTTAACTACTTCAAATAATAATAAAAATAACAATAAGCTTAAGCAAAGATAATTCAATGGTAAAAGGTCTAGGGCAGTGATGTTCCCAATTGCTAGTTTAGATCTTGACTCTTTTGCTATAATCTCGCCGTAATATTCTATGAGGATTAAGAGCTATGAGTTATCGTAATTATCTCTCGATCAATTACAATAATTTACTAGAGCATTCTCTTGAACTACTCTAGCTGACAATATGTACAACTCTAAATTATCCCACCAAAGTTTCGTTATCTCTAAACCCACTTTTAAGTTCAAGTAATGAATCTCTTCAATTACCCAAAAGTGGTATTGTTCAATATCAATCTAACCCAATATTCTTTCTCAAGCAATAAGAGGTAACTAGGCACGATTAATTAAGGCCCATTCAATTAATCACCATACACAACATAATAGAACAATCATATAATAAATCTGGCTCGATTATAACAAGTTGGGTCAAAACTTCAACCAACAATTGGGTTCATCAACCCTAGATAAGTGTTTAGCTACTCATAACAAAATAAGAGAAAACTACTAAATTGTTCATAATATAAGATTGCAAGAAAATAAAAGGGAGATAGAAAAACTCTAATGTTTGGTTGATCTTCTCACACTTGTTCTTGCCTCCATTAATATCTAAAAATACAGCTTAGCTCCATTGTGGGCGAGCTTCTAAAGTATAATAAGGGTTTGGAACAAGTTTTCCCGATTTTGCCCTAAATTTCTGGCAAACGAACAGTTCACTGCGGTCGCGGCAGAACCGCGGTGAACAATAAACATTCTGCCTCGCCACTTGATCTGCCGCGGTTTAACCGCGGTTCCACCGCGACCGCGGTGGATTTCCTTCGGTCCAATTCGCCACTTCATGCTCGGGTACTTCTTGATTGGGCGTTTTCTTCACATTATTGACTTCAAAACACTCCTTAGTGCTTCCTCGCTTAGATTATTCCCTGCGAAGCCAAAGAACACCAATTAGAGCATTTTGTTATCAATTTGCCTATAAAGCCACAATAAAGTATGGTAATATTGAGGTGTAAATATCATCTATATAGCCTAATATCAACACCCCACACTTAAATCATTGCTGGTCCTCTAGCAATCCACCACACTCTATCAAAGTTCCTTCCCTAAGCTTTTCCCTTAATGAATCGCACCTTGAACAATTTTATCATGCAGCAAGCTCAGCACCAGCAGTCACTACCTCAACAAATGACTTCTCATCCTTTGCAACCGTCGAATTTGCCACAGCTACAGCCTCCACATATGCCTCTAATGCCACATCCTCATTTACCTCGGCCACCACACCAACTACAACAAGTAAACATGCCTGGCCTTCCGTCTTCAATGCCAGGTTCGGGATCCATCCAAGCAATGCCTATCCCTGGTCCAATGGTATGTATCATATTTCTATTTGCAGGTTGCATCTTCTTCCCCTTTTTTCCTGTAGATGTGCCATACATATCTTGATTCATCACGGTGCATCTTTAAGTTTAATGCTCTTGCTAATCAAACGGAAATAAGTAAGCGTTTAATGTATTTTTAGTGTAGCATGCATTCTGATTTGTATCTCTGTGTTTATGTTTGCTTATATTGATAGATTCTGAATTCATCTTCATTCGAACCCCAACTTCAGAACTTGATTCACTTTTGTACTTGTGTGTC